CTACTTCTTTAATTTTGCTCCAGTAAATTTTAAGTGGCGGTTAAGAATATCCACTACCCCATATCTTCCCGTGGGTGTCGTAAAAGGCGACAAAGGGAAACAGGCAGGAGATGGGCAGCAGCATCTTCCTGGTAACGACAAAATACAATAAAAAACTGCGGTTGCCAACCCGCTCGCCAAGCGTGGCAACTATGGCAATATACCCCCCATAATGAAAGTTACGAAGAGACGGCCCCCAGTCCGCGGCGGCCCCGCTATTCCTGGCTACGGTGGCGACCATGGTAACGGCGGGGCAGGGGGTGCTAAGAATCTCCGGTGGAGGTTCGGTTGCCACCTACAACGACTCGACCTGGCAACATACAACGCACGCACCCTGAGGACTGACGAGAAGATTGTGGAGCTGGAAGAAGAGATAGACAAGTTACGCTGGCATATTATAGGATTATCCGAAGTCCGAAGAGAGGGGGAGGACACGGTAATCCTCGAATCCGGCAACTTGCTCTATCACCGGGAGGGCGACCATCTGTCCCAAGGAGGTGTCGGATTTATCGTCCACAAGTCTCTCGTTAACAACGTTGTAAAGATTGAGAGAGTGTCGACGAGGGTTGCGTACCTTATACTCAGAATCACCAAACGGTATTCGCTGAAAGTCATACAGGTTTACGCACCAACCTCGGCACACCCCGATCAGGAGGTGGAGGAAATGTATGAGGATATCTCTAGAGCCATGCATTCCTCCAAAACCCAATATACGGTGTTAATGGGAGACTTCAATGCAAAACTAGGCACAAGAGAGAACGGTGAGGTGAAAGTGGGGAAATTTGGAATAGGGCAACGGAACCCAAGGGGCCAGCAGTTGGCCGACTTCATGGAGAAAGAGGGACTCTTTATGATGAACTCTTTCTTCCAGAAGCGGCCCCACAGGAAGTGGACCTGGTCGAGCCCCGACGGTTCGACAAAAAATGAGATTGACTTCATTATGACGACCAGACGACAACTGTTCAGTGATGTCTCAGTGATCGCGAGGGTGAAAACCGGCAGCGATCACCGAATGGTTAGAGGCACACTGAACCTAAACGTTAAGTTGGAGAGGTCTCGTCTAATGAAGTCAACGCTCCGTCCCCCTCGTGCTCTAATCCAAGGTCCCGAAACCTTTCAGCTCGAGTTGCAAAACCGTTTTCAGTGCCTAGAAGACTGCAATGAAGTGGACGATTTGAATGACAAGCTCGTGGAAACTGTCCATGCGGTCGGAGCTAAGTTCTGCAAGACCCGCCGCAGAAGAACACAAAAACTCTCCGATCACACTCTTAATCTCATGGCTATTAGACGGGAGATGAAGCTACATTCTTCAACAGATTTGACAGCATACAGGCAACTGAACAGACAGATCTCCAAATGCATGCGGCGGGACTTACGCAACTTCAATACAGCTCGTATTGAAGAAGCGATCGAGCGGAACCAAGGCTCCAAAGTCTTTGCCAGAGATCTGTCTGCCAGAAAGAGCCAACTGTCAAAGCTGAAGACCGAATGTGGCAGCATCGTTTCCGGGGCACCTGAGATTTTGAGTGAGATTGAGAGGTTCTATGGGCAGCTGTACACGTCATCGTTGGAGCCACACGCAAGTGTGAGTAACGATCCAAGAGCGAGTCTTATCCGACATTATTCCGATGATATCCCGGACGTCAGTCTGAGCGAGATTAGAATGGCTCTCCAGCACCTTAAAAACGGCAAGGCCCCAGGCCAGGATGGAATTACAGCGGAGCTTCTGAAAGCGGGTGGAAAACCGGTACTTGAAGTCCTTCAGAAGCTCTTTAATTCCGTCCTCCATGGTGGCATTACACCGGAGGCGTGGAGCAGAAATGCGGTGGTCTTGTTCTTCAAGAAAGGCGACAACGCTCTCTTGAAGAACTACAGACCGATTTCCCTTCTGAGCCGCGTCTACGTGCTGTTTTCGAGAGTCATTACGAATCGTCTCGCGCGCAGACTTGACGACTTCCAGCCTCCCGAACAAGCCGGTTTCCAAAAAGGCTTTAGCACCATAGACCACATACATACTCTTCGGCAAATTGTACAGAAGTCCGAGGAGTACAATTTGCCACTATGTCTGGCGTATGTGGACTATGAGAAAGCCTTTGATTCCGAGAGGTGTAAGACAGGGTGACGTCATATCCCCGAAACTCTTCACCGCTGCATTGGAAGATGTTTTCAAGCTTCTGGACTGGAAAGGATACGGTATCAACATCAATGGCGAGTACATCACTCACCTTCGATTTGCCGACGATATAGTCCTTATGGCAGAATCGCTGGAGGACCTAAGCACTATGCTCAATGACCTCAATAGTGTTTCCCAACGGATAGGTCTTAAAATGAACATGGACAAAACAAAGATCATGTTTAATGTCCATGTCACACCTATGCCGGTAATTGTTGGAAACACTAAGCTCGAAGTTGTTGACGAGTATGTTTACCTGGGACAAATAGTCCGACTAGGTAAGTCCAACTTCGACCGAGAGGTCAATCGACGGATTCAACTCGGTTGGGCAGCGTTCGGGAAATTACGGCACATCTTCTCGTCAGGTATACCTCAAAACTTGAAAACGAGACTGTACACCCAGTGCGTGTTGCCAGTGATGACATACGGAACTGAGACGTGGTCCTTCACTGCTGGCCGGATGAGGAAGCTCAAGGTCGCTCAGCGAGCTATGGAGAGGGCTATGCTCGGAGTTTCTCTGCGTGATAAACTCAGAAATGAGGATATCCGCAGTAGAACTAGAGTGACCGACATAGCCCAACGGATTAGTAAGCTGAAGTGGCAATGGGCCGGCCATATAGCTCGAAGAACCGACAACCGATGGGGAAGAAAGGTTCTCGAGTGGCAGCCTCGTACCGGCAGGCGAAGTGTAGGGCGTCCCCCCACTAGATGGAGTGACGACCTGGTAAGATTTGCAGGAAGTCGATGGATGCAGGTGGCTCAGGACCGTGCTTTGTGGCATTCTTTGGGGGAGGCCTATGTTCAGCAGTGGACTTGTGAAGGGCTGTAATGATGATGATGAAATTTTATTACCATCTGTATCTTTTAACCAATTCTTCCCTTTAATTAATTCTTTAAAATCTATGAAATCAGCTTGCGTCATTTGTTTTACTTGATACTTATGCCTGGTAACTTTGGCATTCTCTATGAAGGAATACATTTGATCAGGTGTGTAGATAGTATGCTTTTTCTTAGAACGCTCAATAGCAGCATGCATAGAATCGCCCTCCGATTGACTATGACCTTTCTCCAAAAACCTATGTGTTATTTTTATGTTGTATTTCTTCGCCGCTAAAGAAAACATGTCGAATACGAAACGATTACGATTTTGCCCTGCGCATGAATCAGAATAAAAGGATATGTTTTTTATTCCTAATTCAACGTGTGCCTGGATAAATGACCAAAGACAACTAGCTATTTCTATCGCACCCCTTTTCGCAATTTGACAATGCCAGACGTAGCAGTAACCTTTCTTCTCTAAGATATTATAAATCTTGAAATTGTATACAGGATACTTTCGTTTATAATGAAATATGCCTACTTCACTTTGGGGGATATTTAACACTTTTTCCAGATCAAAACATGCTACAACACTGTCACCTGAACAAAATTTTTCATTTTCTTGTTCCTTTAATTGCCTTACCATTTGTTTTTCTTTCAAGTGCTTTTCATAGTCAGCTTTTAACTGTTCTTTTCTAACATCATCAGAAGTTTGGTAAATTGAACATATTTCACATAAATCTTTTTAAGGTTTGTGAAAGGATAGGTTAAACTTCGTATTAAATATTATTTCATACTGCCGTTTAGTTGCTTTGCATGTTTGATTGTACTGGTGGTTTGTATCTATCCATTCTAAATATAGTCGGTGCATTTTAGAGACATTCAATGTTTCACACAGATATAGCTTTTGACTATCTTTACGAGTATAGTGTGATTCAACTCTTTCAAATAGATTTATGTGGTCAATTATACTTTTCTCAGTCTCTTCTGACATTCTTCTTGGCCTATTCTTATGAGTTCCTCTGTAATCTTTTAAATAATTGTCATCTCCCAATTTATCAATAGCTGTATATACTACTTGCTGTGTAATAGACAAGGTACTTAAAAACATAGTTTTACAAACTTTAATCATGGAATTAGTATCATCGAATAGTTGATATGTTAATGTTTGAGTACGATTATTTTTACGTTCAACTGTAATTTTTTTGACGTTTTCTTTTTTTACATGGCGGTTAATAAAATCCCACTGTCTTTCGTGGTCCCCGATAGCCCAAAAATTTTGAAAAATTTTACTCCTCATATTTTGCTGTATCTTTTCGTAACTTTTCAGTTTGCAGTTGCATGGTGGACCTATAGATTTTTCTACGTTTTGCTTTTTAGTTCTAACACATTTTTAAATAAAACTTATTTTACGGATTTTATCGCCTATATTAACTTATTTTTATATTCCCGACGTTTCGGGTGCTCTCCAGCGGTTGTTCGGGTGTTTGCGTAAATATAAGAAATCATTAGTTCTAACACTTTCATAACTTTTACCAGAATTTTTAAGAGTTTTATTTTTGCGATCTTTCCATAAATTAGGATCTATTTTTCTCTTTTTCGTAAGCGGTTCTATAGGAGTGACGGGTCTTTCCTCCGATTCTGTAGTTACAATATCCTGTGATATATTTTGTGTTTCAATACTATGTAAAAAACCCTCTCCGCCTTATTCCAAAACACGGACTTAATATAATACTGGAGTTAGTAATATATTTAAACCATAAACTAAGAAAAACGTTATTACAAAACGAAGATTATCTCTGGTTCAAGGATTATCTATGGTATTAAAGTTAATCTTTCGAGACCCCTAGTTTAGCTATGGTACTAACCTTTCTATATAGTTTGTGGTACTCTATACTAACCTCAATTTCGGTACTTCTTAATTTGAGGTGAGCGTTGTTTTCATTTGGTGTTATTAAAATCGTTAAAAATGGATATTAACATGATTGACTTGATGGATTTAGAAGATTTGGACATGCTGGAGACCACTCGGCGACCTGATAGACATCGACATCGTGTGAATCCGTTTGAATTGAGTGACGAAGATTTTAGGTATAAGTATAGGTTCTCAAAACGTTTCGGAGAAAAAATAGTGGGTATCTTACGTGAGGATTTAGTGCACGACCCTCGAGGATGCCCATTGAGTCCTGAAATTCAAGTGGTTTGTGCATTACGCAACTGGGCTCGCCATGAAGTAAGTGCTGTTTATAATCTTGGTGGGGTCAATGTACCTAACATTACGCTAGATAAAAAGCCAAATAATACATATTATTGTTTTATTCGTAGATTCAAGACGATACAGCTGGTTTACATAGTGTGTCTCAACCAGTAGTCAGTAGGACATGTAAAAAAGTAGCGGAAATTTTGTCACGGAATTCCCGAGAATTTATTAAAATGCCTACTACTTTAAATGAACAACAGGAAACCATTAGGAAATTTCGCAGTATTGCTAATTTTCCTACAGTAATTGGCGCAATTGACTGTACTCACATACGAGTAAAGAAAGTGAATGCTGATGGGGGTCAGTTATATATTAATAGAAAAGGATTTTCTTCAATTAATGTACAGGTAATATACAAATATTTTAAATAGCTGTGATTGTCTCTTAATAACTTTACTTTATCATAATAGAAAATAATTTGTTTGACTATCTTATGGTAATAAATATATATTAAAATAAACCAGAAAAACATAAAGTACTAATGAGCTCTTATTTTACAGGTGGTTTGTGATGCTGACCTGAAAATCATGGACATTGTTACCAGGTGGCGTGGTAGTGTACATGACTCCAGAATATTCTGAGAATGTAGACTAAAACAGAGGTTTGAGGCTGGTGCATTCTCTGGAATATTACTTGGTGACAGTGGCTATCCTTGTACTCCTTACCTATTTACACCGCTGCTGAAACCCACAACACCACAAGAAGAAAGATATAATAGGAGCCATATCCGTACCAGGAACACAGTGGAAAGATGTTTTGGTTTGTGGAAGCAACGGTTTCGTTGCCTATTAAGAGGTATGTTTGGAGATATTGAAACAGCAAAAAACCAATTGTTGCATGTGCTGTACTACACAATATGGCCATCGACATGAGAGAAGATGTGTTTTCTGGTGAGAGAGATAGCATTGAACAATATTCATCTGAACCTATAGTACAAAGATATATTACACCATCAATAAGGGGAAATATTAGAAGAAGACAGTTTATTGAAACTCATTTTCAGTAGGTAAACATTTTTTTTTACATATTTATATAACTATTTATAATTAAAATTTATAATTATATTTATAAAATTGTCAAATTTTTTTCAATTGTCTAAAGCTATGTATATATAATTTATTTTATTTTGTTATTCAGAGGCCAATTTTGGCTATAAAATTACATTAAAGATCAATAAATGTATAAGACAATTATAATAATATTTCTTTTTGATTTCAGACATAATACCCATTTATAAAGGAACATATTTCTGCAGAGCCGTTGTCAGCTGTCAAAGAATAACGACTACATATTCACCAATATGAAATAAATTCAGGGGAGTATTGTGATAATATTTCATTTATTGAGCAAAATGCTTTTATTTAGGCTATAAATGATTGTGTTTCAGGGAAAGATGCGGGGTACAGCACATTCCACATCAATATGAAGCTATATTATATAAAGATTTAAGTGCTGTAGAGATATGTTTAGATTTTTTAATAAATATCGTCCCTACTCTACATTCACAGCCGGATTTCCTTTCCAGAGGTGCAAGGGTCCACGGGGAGTAGGACTGTATGATAACTAAGTAAATAGGTTTAGTTTTTTTTATTATAGTTTTTTACTATTGTATATTATATTTCATTGTTATGTAAATAAAATGCATATTAATTATAATTATTTATTTTAATTATTAATAAAAGATGTACAAATATTTGCAGCAATTAAGTACCTGAAAATAATAGTTTCATATATGAGGATATTTACAAACATGTATCTGATATAGTCTCAAATATTTAGTTTTTTTTTATAGGATAATGGTGATAAACACAGTCTACCACACACACACACACACACACACAGTCCATCTGATGTTAAGTAACTGTTGTGGTGCATAGACGTCCACATCTATCCTCGACTACAAATCAAAATGCAGATGCGTTGTCACCCGTGTGGAGTAAGATGGAATGCCTCGTTTCCTGTAAAAGAGGTCTCTCTCATACAAAATTTGTACAAAAATTTATCCAAAATTTGTCAATAAACAAGTTTAAATGTTTTATTAAAGAAAAATTTTATAAAAAGGTTATTATAATATCAAAGAATACATAAATGAAAATATTGGAAATACTGGAATTGAGGTGATCGCCACCATGGTGGTTCTATTAAAATTCATTTAAAAATTGTACAAATAAAATTATTGTTAAGAGAAATATGTTTATAAAAAAGTCCCACTGGGTTTCTTACTAGTTCTTCCCAGGACTGAGGTATTTTCCGAACCAGTGGTAAATAAAAAATGTCTTTCAATAAGTATTCTGTAATAATCTATATTTAATAAAAATCATTCTATTCTATTCTCGTTCTATAAACTCACCATAATAAACACAGCAGCATTAAGCTGCTATTTAACTTGTGTTTTTCTGACTTTCTAATAAAGATATTTGTAACTCTAATTTTCTAATTTTTAGGTTAGCTATTTTAATATTGTATTTATGTTCCTCTTCCATCATTTCCAGTTGTCTTTTTTTTTAAATCTGTGTTACTTTTTACAATTGTTTGGTGTACATCTTCTCTTCTGTAAAATGAAATGGAATACTTAATGTAAGTTTTGTAGTTATTTTAGACATTTACAAAGTATTCTAGAGTAATAAAAGTGCACTTAACCTTGTACACCAATTAAAGAAATATTTTTTAATTATTTTTAAATCAATTCATATTAAACTTTGCTTTTAATATTTGAAAACATGAAACAATTTTCAGTGTTTAAATACTAATTTTCACATTTTAAAAAGTATGTAATGTATCAGACTATGTAATTTTTTCAACATACCTATTTTGCAAGCTATTTTTCCTGTTTTTAATTTTTGTTATACCCCTAGTAATAATATCTTTATTGTTGGTTATTTTCACCATTTTGGCACTTTCTTCTGTATCTGTAGTTGGATCTATCTCTAAAAATTAATATAAATATAACAGTTTTAGAAAATTAACATTTATAATATTTACAAACTTGTATGCCTATGATTGTAACTATAATAATAATATATTTAGCTTTTTAATAAATATTCAATCAGTATTATTTACCTTGCACATATACAACATTGGGTTCTGGATTTTCTACATTTTTAACTATAGCTGTGTCTGTTTTTTCAAAATTAAGGCGAGGCTTAGGGTCAGCAACTTCTTTTGATGTTGTAGCCACAGTCACTGGATCCTAAAATAAATCATTAAAACATTTATTAACATGTTTTCCTGTCACCTGTCACCTCTATTTTGCCCTTTATTGAATCAGGTATTTTCTATGTTGTAGAAATATTATTATGATCCAAGACAAAAGGTAATTTAATAAATTATTAATTATAATACCTAATAGACAAAAATAGAAAATTATAATCGGACTGTGTAGATAATCTAGTAACATGTGTGTTATGATATTATATAGACCACTATATATTAATTTGTGACATTTCAATTTTGAATATAATTAATTATAAAGAAATTTATGTTAAATTGTTACTAAGTATATTAAATTTTGAATATTCGGAAAATAATTTTGGATTGTAAATTGTATGCTTTAAGAGTAGATTTCAGAGCACTACCTAGGTACTAAAGTAATGGAAAATAAAGTTCTTTAATTTTAATTAAATTTGTAAGACATGTAAGTAATTTTATTTACCACTGCATCACTATCATAATTATTAACTTCAACGATAAAGTCGTGAGGGGCAATGGACATTATTTCCAAGTCCTCAAGAGAAGGTGATGGAGGTTTTCCGCCACCCCCGGTCTTTGATTGTTCCCTCCTATATGTGTATAAGTTTGATTTAGCACACAACTTCATTCTTTTCCAAGATAATTTCAATTCACCATCTGATCGGCGTTTACCTGTTATCTCATTAAATCTAAAAAAAAATACGAAATCACGTAAACAATACCGTACCGTGTTGTTTGTACACATAACAAATGCGATAAATACTTACTTATTAGTTATATTCTTCCACTCTTTTATTTTTTGAATATTTACCGATGTTTTTGTCGACTTATTCTCTATTATATGTGCTGATTGTGAAATAAGTGAACGTAATATTTCCTATAATAATAAGAACATTCCTTTTAGTTGAAATAAGGATAATAGGAGGATAAGAGTATTGGTACGTACTGACAAATAAATTTCGATATTTCACTAACTTTTTTTTCAGAACTCCAATTTTCACCCCGTTTTTTCTTTTGTTCCATTATTATATAAATATAACTGTAATAGCAAGTACTTTTAATTAATTAATTATTAATAATTTAATTTACTTATTATAAGGCTGCAATATAAACTATTTTGAACGTCTCGAATCCCGCGCTCGCGTTACCTCTGTAATTCACTACATTTCACGCTAGCGTTGTTAAACTGAAAACAACTTGATATAATCAAAAGCGCGTCAAAAGTATATGTCGTGCTTGTTCAATAGATTTTAACGTAAACAAATAACAATGTATGATATGTTTTTGTATTGATGGATAATTATTTAAGCATAATTAAGTGTGAAAATAATATTAATATTTTATGAAACCGAACGTTGCATTGAATGAAACCTGTATGAACGAATGGTAGAGTGTCATTTTTTGTTTTTTATCTGTGAATGATATTTAATATAATACTAACGTTGGTATTAACTGGTCCTCGGGTAGTCTGCGTTTTGTAATAAGCACACGTTTTAGTGCTGGTATTAACTAGAATATTGTAACAAACCTGGACTTCTTACTCCTAAACTTAACCCAGTACTAAAACATTTTTTTGGAATAAGACTGTAAGTCTCTGTTGACAACGGTCTAAATAGTTTTGAGCATTTTGTTAGGGTTCTAGTGCTTATAGAGATAATGTATCATCAAAAAGGAAAACATAGGGACAAAGAAGAGGTTGGTTGATATTTATTTTACTGTAAGATCTCATTGCTATAAGGTTATAAACCAGAAAGAAAAGAGGCAGGAGCGTTTGTATGGAGGAAAAACCACCCGAATTTACTTTTAATTTGCTCAAAGTAAAGTTGCACAAGCAAGCATGTACGTTAAGACGGCGTGTGGACGCTACACATTAGGCGTGTGTATCTCTTTACGGAAACGACTCACTGATACGAATCACTGAAGTGACACAAAAGATTGGTTCAGTAACAACGTTTCAAATGTATCATTTGTATCTGGAACAGTGAAACATTACTTTGCTCTTTGCTCATTTCGCGCGACGCGTCGCTTGCGAGGCGACTGAGCCACGAGCGAGAGAGAGAGACTGAGACACTGATTAACTTAACTATTGACTCACGAGTGGCGAGTGAGCGGGCGAAATAATTATAATTCACACAAGTCAGATAGAGATAACAAATAAGAAGTGTATCACTCAACTCGTACGGATTTTCGCTGACGTTATTCATGCACGTAAAAATTACCACTAAGGCGCTTATGTGTCAAATACTATACGGTCGTTTTTTGTATGTAACGTTTGCATTAACAAGTTGTCATTTTACGTTGATGCGGCACTTGTCAAATTGTTTATATTCATTAGCGCCTGTTTACGAAAACATACTGAGTTATGTTTAGGATTTCTTTGCGTAGTGATTAT